GCCAGCAGAAGATGCTCCAGGTACCGCTGCAGCAGGGGGGAGGACAGCAGTGGTGGGGGCTGCCCCAGATGCTCAGCTGCTGGCAGGCCAGGGTCTGCGGGGAGCGTGGCTTGCCGTGGGGAGCTGCGGAGGGGCAGGAACCTTGGAGGCAAACAGCACTTGGGTGACTCACCTGGATCTGGGGGAGGTCACCCCAAAAAATCCCATTTGGGGGGCAAAACCCTCATGGCCCTGCCAGGCTCTGCTCATAGGCTGGCAGCTGGCACTGCCCTGCCTGTCCCTGCCTGCTGGGTCCAGCGGGGATGGTGGGCGGAGGCGGGGGATGCGCTCCATCTCCTGCGAGATCACATACTGGGTGATGCCATCCTGCCACGAGAGCCCTGCCATGGGAGGAGGTTGTGAGACATGGAGGAGGCCTGGGGACTGCAGGGCAGTCACACAGCAGGCCACGCTGGTGTCTTGGCCCTATGTCCCTTGGCCTGGGTTCAGCACCGCTCCTCCCAGAATCAGCTGCATCCCTCCTCAGCCCCCCTGGTGCCTGGGCCAGCAGAATCCCAGACAGCCCTACTGCCTCTAGGCATGATTCTTGATGCCCCCTTCCTGCCAGGTTGCAGCAACTACTGCCATGCTCCCCCCTTCACCTTGTGCCATGAGGTGCCGCAAGACATCCTGCAGGCGCTGGAGCACAGGAGAGGTGACCTGGAAGTAGGGTCTGTCCTGCACGGAGCCCACCTGGCATTGCCCAAACAGCCCATCTGCAAGACAGGGGGGGCAACAGGACCAGATGTGTGAACATCCCAGGGGTGAGGGTCTCCAGGCACAGCCCCATCTTTCTCCTGCCATGCCCCCCTGCACAGTGCCCCAAGTTCTGTTGCAAGGAAGCCCGGCACCCCCCACATCCCCTTGGGAAGGAAGAAGGGATGTCTGCACCACCACTAGACACTTACCCTGCACACACACCTCCTTGGGGGAGCACAGCCTCCGGTCAAACAGGCAGCCTGGGACAGACAGACAGGCCAGTCAGCACAGTGTCCAAGGGGTGTTCCAACAGGGTTTGCTCATCACCAGCTGCTTGGTGACCCCCACTCTTCACGTAAGTGCCATGGGTGTGCAATGTGGTGACAGTGGCAAGGGACACAGCCTGGTAGGTGAGGGCAGGGCCATGGTACAAGTCTCCTCTCCCCTCAAAACTGTGTGGGGGTTGTATACAGAACCTGCCCCTGGCTCTAGGGAGTGGCCTGCAGTTTTTTGGGGTTCCAACAGTTAGGAAGGGAAGGATAAGGGGCAAGACTACATCTGTTAAGCTCTCGCATGTGACACTACGAGGCAGAGACACAGCCCTGCACCCTCTGACACCAGTGACAGGCTCTCCCTGCGGGGGGGACCTCAGAGCAGGCATGCAGTGGAGGGGGATGCCTGCCCATCACCTTGGGGGGGCAGCACTTGGACAGGGGGCGTCTTCCCCCTTCTTCTACCTCTCCGTCTCGGTCCAAGCCCGTCAGCATCGAGACGGCAGCAGGCGATGACTCAGCCCC